TGTTGGGGTGGGTGTGGGGGTCCCGGTTGGGTGTGGGGGTCCCGAGGGATGTGTGGGGGTCCCGATGGATGTGTGGGGGTCTCGGGGGATGTGTGGAGGTCCCTGAGGAGGGGTCTGACGCCCCTCGCCCCCAGCCCTGCTGTACCTGCCGGACGGGTCGGCGCTGCCGCTGCCCCTGGAGCCGCCCCCGGGCCCCACGGCCGCGGAGCTGCTGCGCCGCCTGCAGGGGGCGCTGCGCCTCCCGCCCGCCGCCACCGACGCCTTCGCGCTGTGGTTGGGGTCGGATCTGCTCGGTGAGGGGGGGGACAGGGGGACATGATGGGGACAGGGGGACATGGGGGAACATGGGAGGGACACAGGCAACACGGACATTGGGGGGGGTCACAGCTCGCGCTGTGGTTGGGGTCGGATCTGCTCGCTGAGGGGGGCACAGGGGGACATTTGGGGGACATGGGAGGGACATGGCAACACGGACTTTGGGGAGGTCACAGATCGCGCTGTGGTTGGGGTCGGAGCTGCTCGGTGAGGAGGGGACATTGGGGACATTGGAGGAGTCCCACGGGGGACAGGGGCACAGAAGGATCCCCCTGGAGATGGGTGTTGGGGGGTCCGTGGGCCCCCATGGGTGGGTGCCTGTGGGGATCCCCGTAAGTCCCTGTGCCCGTGGGGGTCCCCGTGGGGGTCTCCGCGGGTCCCCGAGTGGGTGCAAGCCCCGTGTCCCCCCAGAGGTGCAGCTGAAGCCACGGCACCGACCCTTGCGCCTGGTCCGGCACTGGCCGGAGCTGCTGCTGCGCTTCAGCCTCGGCTCGCCCGCGGCCATCGCCCAAGGTGAGGGGTGGGGGGCCCGACGAGGGGTCCCGTGGGGTGGGGGGAGGCCCTCGAGGGTCCTCCAGCCCCGCTGACCCCCTTTCTCCCCCAGATGAGCCRTGTCTGCAGCTGCGCAGGAATGTGTTCTTCCCCAAGAGCCGCGAGCTGGAGGTGAGGAGGCACAATAGGGGGGCTTGTGGGGATTTGTGGGAGGGGGTACATGGGGGACACTGAGGGGTGTAGGGTGGGGTGGTTTGAGGGTCTCTGTAGGTGACACGAGGGTCACTGTGGGGTGACCTGGCGCTCTYTGTGGGTCACAGCTGCAGGAGGAGGAGCTGCTCCGGTTGCTCTATGAGGAGGCGCGGGAGCAGCTGCGTGGGGGTCGCTACCCCGTGGACCCCCCCGARGCGGCCGAGCTGGGGGGGCTCAGCTGCCGCCTGCGCCTGGGACCCTTCGAGCCCGGCCGGCACACGGAGCTCAGCCTGCGGTCAGMACCGGCCGGACCCTGCCCGCGGGGCCCCTACCCGCGGGAACCCCTGGGACTTCCTTGGGACCCCACTCGGGACCACTCTAGGGCCTTCCCTGGGACCCCTCTCCTGCCGGGACACCTGAGACCCCCTCCTCCCGAGACCCTCCCATACAACCACCTACAAAACCCCCTCCACCTGGGACCCATACCTTGGACCCCGCCATGGGACCTCCATCTGTGGGACCCCCGCCCATGTGATACACGTGGGACCCACCCGTGAGAACCACCCCCGGGACCCGCCTGCCCCATGGGACCCTCACCCCGTGGCCCCACTGTCCCCATCCCGACTCCCCCGTGTCCCCATCCGTGTCCCCTCTGACCCCTCCTCTTTGTCCCCTCCCAGGCCGCTGCTGGGGGAGCTGCTGCCGCCGGGTCCTCCGGCCCGCTGGGGGGCGCTGTTCCGGCGCTCGCGGGAGCCGGGCCCCGCCCAGCGGCTGCTCGAGGCGTTCGCGCGCGCGCCGGGCCCCGAGGCGCCCCCTGCCGGATTGTACCGGGACTTCCTGCGCCGCTGCCACGCCCTGCCCGGCTACGGGTGAGAGGGGGACCCCAAAGGGACACCCCCATGGGGGTGACATCCCCACTGACA